TTCAATAAAATGTATAATATAATGTTGCTTATTTTCTTAATTTCATTAATTTTAATAAGTAAATGGAAAAGAATTTACTCCGATTACTGGATAAAAACTGATTTGGAATAAATCTTACACAAAATGAGAGATATGTATATTTTTCGAGATTATATAAGTATGATTTAGTTTTATATGGTTATTTTATATAATTTACTGCAAGCATACTTCTTTTTAGCTGTCAGTTTATATAATGTATTTCCCTCTAAGAAAATAGTAAAAATCTAAAGGCTAAAACGACATTTATTTTGTCAGAACAGGCAGTAATATCATTATTCTTACTTCAATGTTATTAATCGCGTATTTAAATAAAAACAAAACTCAGAAAAGCCAGAATTACGGCAAGCAATAACAATAATTCTTATAAATCCAGAGTTTATTCTTTACCCAGAACTGCAATTTATTTAACGCCCTGTGAGCGATACCGCGTTTTTTATGCTATAATAATATTTTCTGTCATCGCTCCTGGATAAACAAATATATTTGTCGCAAAGAAAGGTAAATTTTCTATATCTTATCAGAAACTATTTTTCTCATTAAAATATATGAATTCTGTGCATTTTGTCGATCGATCGATAGAAAATTTACTTTCATATACATATATATTTTGCAAAGTAAAAAATTACAGAATTAACTCGCAGAAAAGATTTTTATCTCTTGAAAATAGAGAAATTTCAATGAGAGGGAGATTCCTTGGCGCGTTGCACGAGCGGCGAATTATGTGGAGGACATTATTTTTCGCAATTTATGGTAGCAGCAACACGTACATACGCACGGACGCTTCGCCAGAGTCAAAACTGCCGGTGTTCTCGCATCTGAATTGCTTAATCTAAACTCCCACTAGAGTCTTGTGCACGAACGCAATTCCATTAGTAACAAATCTTTGCCGCGAGACTCGTTCTTCGGTATGGAAATCGACGGCGCTTTATCGTGTTCTTTGCGACACAAAGCGGTGCAAGATCAATCTTACGAGGCTACGAATATTAGTCGAATCTTTTCGAAGAGCAATTCTTTCTGTCATCAATTTTACATTCGCGTATATAGTAAATAGATGCTGAAGAAGACCGCATATTTTTTTACATTATATAAAAAAAAATTAATTTTTGTAATAGGTCTATAAGAAAATCAATTTCTTTAAGAGAAAGATTTCTGTAATTATGATTATATATATATATATTTCTTTTCTTTTGAAGTATTATACTCGAAAATTGTCAAAATCAAAGGCGAATGTAGTAAAATAACATTTCTACTACAAAGTAAGTTGTTCAACCACTTTGAAGCTATCGACGAAAGCGACATTCGCTAGCAATACAAGCAAACATACCTTTCTGTTGCCCTTTGACCCTACATCACGTTTGTTTCATCGCGTTTGTTTCATCGTATTTTGCACCCGACGTTTATTTCGCCTCGCGCCTTTCTTCGTCGAATTCGCGTCGTCAAGGAAAAGTAATTTGTTGCTTATCGCGTGAAACACAAAGGCGGAGTGCGGTGGGTCCTTTTCGCGGAGAGAAACGCAGGGATATGAATACAACGACCGCGAAGCAAATATTAATTTCTACGTTCGAGTTAGCGAGCGAATATCGTGGGCTTTCAAAGTAATTTCAATCCTGAATGACGTGAAATGACGCTATTTCAAGATCTGTTGTGTACAGCAGACCTTGTCCCGCGATCTGCATTTCATCGGAAGCTATTCTCGTTAAAATATGGATTCCGAGAAAGATTTATTGACATCTAAACGCACAAAATGTATTAACTTCCTTCCGATATTTGACACATTAGCGTATCATAGAAATAGAATCTCTATACCTTTCTTTTATCAAATTTGGCATGAAAATATTTTTCAAGTTGTCGAATTCAAATACGATATTGTGTAGAATTTTGCAATTCGGAGAATTGATGGATTAAAATGCAAAAATGTTTCAAAATTTACAAAGCTATTTCACAACGAATGAACGTTGCTAATAAATTATAAATAGACATACAGCATTTCGCCGATCAAAAAATGTATATCGTTATATTATAATCTGAATGTTTAATTTCCAGTTAAACTTTTCACGCATTCACTATACAAATTCATACGGGTTATTGATTTTAATATATATATATATATATCGACAACCCGCACTAGTGTTACGCAGGTAGTGATTAATTAACCATACATCGCTATTACAACATTTATGACGTTGTCGCTTCAACGACCATTAAACATCATTAAAATATAACTAACGATCAAAATGGCCAGAATTTTCCAGCAAACTTTGCTTTGCGAACAACTTTCGGTATTCGTTTTGTTATATCATGCCGAATACATATACATATAGATGTCCCGCATATTTTCTCAATTTTTCCCGAGAATCGTCAGAATTACGACAGCGACGCGAATGAAAATTCTATTTCGTTGTTGAACAACACGAAATTGAGCAGCACGAAATTTCGCGTGTCGGTTACGAGGCCGCGCGCCATACGTGCACCGAATGCGACACCGAATTGCTTCGCGAATACACACATGCTCTGCGAGGATTAACACATGTCGCGTGTGTGTGGCGGCAATTCTTTCTCTTTTTTTTTTTCATTGAAAGAGCATCTCGCTGAATTATGCCGGTCATTCGAAAAACGTGGCCACGGCTAGAGCGTGTAACACTAAGGGATTACCAAACAATACCACGAACAACGATACGAGTTTAACCGTTTAATCGTAAGTACATCCAAAAATGTCATGTTAAATGTAAATTACTGTTTCTACGTTAAACCAGGGGCTTTAGTAAAAGATTTATCCTAAGGCGATACCGCGCCACACTTGCGTACGATAACCGAATCTTTTCCGGTAGAATTTTTCGTAGAATGATATTTGTCACGCGCTTGTACGCAGTTAATTATAAAATCATAAGTTTGTTATTACATCGCTGAAATATTTCATAATTATACACATAAGCGATCTCGCAAGTTGTGAAATATATACACATACGGGTTCCATAGTCGCGAATATATACGAGGTCCATTAAAACTTTAAATTACGATGTCGAAAAGGTAAATTTCTACCATTCTTGGCGGAATGTACATATTTCGCGAAATATCTACCACCTGCGTGAGTTTGCCAGACGTTGAGAATATATATTTTCGCTGAATGAGAAAAAGCCCGGCTCGCTGCGAGAACACCGAAATTTTTGCGAATAATAATACGAATGACATTCAGACTCGTCTGTCTCCTTCTCTCATTCAAAATATATATCTATCGTTGGCGCAGCTGCACTTCTTGCGATCGTAAATAATGCTCGTACTTGAAATCGTACGTCGACTCCGACATCTTCTATGCCTGCTAAGAACCACCGGTAGCTGGTGAAAATACCTACGTCTAATTATTACACGCGAATATATATGTCTCAGCATGCACCTTGCATCCTATTCCGAAGCGATTTTATGAAGTTTTACTTCGTTTCTTGCGATGTGACAGAATTATTTCCAAATTATCTCTCGCGCACGCGACGCGAACTGTCTTTTCACAATTAATTATTTTTTAATTTCTTTATTCTCTCTCACGCAATATTTCATTTTATTAATTGATTCTTATGCACGTGTATATACAAAATATATACACAATGTTCAAAATGTGAAATCGTGATCCAGTGTAAGAAAATAAAATTAATTCCGTGTGGAAAAATAAGTTAAATATGTAGAATAATTTCTTTTTCATATACGAGACTTCATTTTCAAGAAAAATAACTTTGAATATTAGAATATTGTTAATAAATACATTTTGTATTTCCTTCGTCTATTTTATGATTGCTATATTACTATTTTCAGATATTATCTATATACATATAAGAGGATCTGCTATATCAAAAATTTTTAGAATAACTGACTCGGAAATAATTATTTTTGACAGTTTTAGATTGATAATTGTAGTATAAATATTACTAGAAAATATAATCATACGATTGTACAAATATGTTTATGAGTAATAATAAAGTAACAATGCAATATAAAATTTGCAGATAAAAAGAAATGAAGCAGAGAAATATGGGAATAAATTCGATTTTCGCGGTAGGGATAATAAATCGTCGAATTAAGGATTACGTTGAATGTAATAGGTCCTGTGCAACCATCTCTATGGCAGTAGTAACTCTCTGTTCTCTCGACGCGGTGAAAGAGGATTTGCTCGTGTCTCTCCGTGTCTCGTGTATGCGATCGAGGCGGATTTGAAGCGCGACATTTCCTCGCGCACACACGCGGATACATTGCGAGCCCAGGTGTGCAGAGAGCAGAGAGGATTGTAAGCAATAAAAGCGCAGTAAAATCTGTTTTGTAACTGCGTTCATAGATGTATGACAAACGTAGCATTGTCTTTCGAAACAATCAAAACGTATCTAATCGTGAAAATTTAATGAAGAAGGCACAATGATGTACGAATGTTTTATGCAAATATTATCGCACAATGAACATAATATTACAAATGCAATAAGTCAACCTTCAAATCGTTATAAAACAAATGACAAATATATTAGAAAAAATATTCCTCCAACACCATTCATATTAAAATGCAAGAATATAAATAAAACAATCGGACAAATATAATTACGAACAAAAATTATCGCCTTATTTTTGGTTTTCAAAATTATTTATATACATTTGAATCTCGATTAAAAAGAATTTTTATTAATTTTCCAATCAATTCAGATATTTTCTGCACTGATTTCGCATTCTTGTAAACTCGACATAACGTTAATCAACCCTCCCGCGTTTTAACCCTTCCTAGCAATAGCTGACCCTCGAGTTACGTCAAAGGCTTGAAACCGGAGATGACTAAAGTGGCGTTTCCGCCTCTCGCGGTCTACCTGTAGCTTTCATTCGCCCCTTCGTTTACCTTTTAATTCATCTCCCTCTTCTCGCCAATTATCACCTTCAGTTAAATGTCTCGCGCAAAAAAGAGACCGGCCTCGATCATTCGTTAGTTTTCCACTTACCTAAGCATATTGAATCATTCCATCGGCGTGACAGGTGGTTCGATCACTGGCAGCTCCCCGAAGAACCTCCCTCTCCTCGTAACGGGTCAAATAAAGGTCGATTAAAATCACTTCGTTTTTCCTCTCTCTCTCTCTCTCTCGAACACTCGCGCAACACTTTGACGGTGACCGGGTTGAGTTTCGCGTCGCGAATTTCCGACGATACTTTGATCGACGGTGGCGCCAATTTCCAAGGTCGGGCCCGCAAGGTCACAGTCCTCTTCCCGGACCAGGGTGCCGGCCGGTGACGATCGGAAGCGACGATCGGGTCGAATCGCGCGCGTGCCCGTATCGAGCGCGAGTCTCGGCCGCGCGTGCTTGCCGACCTGTGACCCCTTCCTCTTTTGCTCCGTCGTCGTCCTGCGCGTCTCTCGCTCGTCCCCCGCGAAGGATCCTTGTCACACACGCGCGGATGCCCCGCGATCTGCGCCACAGTCCACCACTCACTGACAAGATTCCCCGCCGTGACACTTGCTACTTCCTTCTTGATTTTTCTCCCTCTCCCTCACCTTCTACTCCGCTCCTTCTCTGCAGCCTCCGCTCGCTCTCGTAGTTGCTCGTCGCGGTGCTGGTCGTCCGGAGTGTGTATCGGAAATATACGCGATGCTGTGTGTCAGGTCGCTGATTTCATCAGAGACGAGAGAGAGAGAGAGTTATGGTCGTTTCTCGCGCGATATCTCGCCGCGACGATGCGAGAGCGGTCGACTGTTTGATAACTTCGGACAATATATAGGTGCGATGTTTGTTCCCGGGTATCGTCACGTGACGCGGAGGAAACTATTATTCGGGAGAGCTTGACAGTCGGCGGAGAAATGTCGCACGTGGGACGGTGATAAACAACAGGTATCTCACGATGACAGTTGTAATTGGAAAATCGCGTATCCGCGTGCAACTACTTTTTAATCGTCTCTGTTTACAAATGTGATTTCTCGTGTGACTTTCTCTCTCTTCGATTTCTCGATACTCCGTTATTAATTAAAGAAGAGTAATACCTTCTATTTCCGATATCGCAAACAAAATGTGCAGGCAATTGTGTCGATTTCGTCTCGTCGCACACCGAAGATGATTTTTCCGCGTTGTTGAAATTGACGTTTTGTTTTACGTTTATCTCCTCGCGCACTTCTCCTCGGCTCCAAGCCGGAGTCCTTTCTACTCCTTGATATTGCTGCTAACTAATCTAACTTTTTTTGGTTCGAGATATAGCCAAATACCTGTTCTTCACATAGTCTCTTCGACTCTCTCGATATTATCTCGGAGTCGCTTTTACTCGGAGTACTCGCGCAGAACAAGTTTCGCGCGAGAGGAGCTGCGGATGGACACCGGTGCGAACGAGCGTGTCGACACAACGAAACAGCAGACTGGAACCGGTGGCGGCTGATTCAAATTCACCTCCCCACGTGGCGGCGACGGCGTCATCCCCGAGACTGCCGCCGATACGACGCTCGCCGCCGGTCAGAGCGTCGCCATCTTACGGCGCGCCGGCGAACTAACTTTGCCGTCGCGGGCTTCTTCGAAAAAGTTGCCGCCAAAACTCGCTCTCTCCTCTTTCTTTGTATTACAGTGTCTTCAAAATATAGAAATAAATAAATCAGGATTATTCTTGTTCTCTATTATACACATATTCCATTACAAGTCATAATCCTCTTTTCTCATATCTGCAACCTATTTCTGCATACAAATTTTATGTATAAAATGTATAAATATATTAAAATAAAATGTATTAAATGTATAAAAATTTAAAGGTTGAGTAATATTTATATATATCTGCGCTTAGTCTAATATTGTATATAATACGAAGAAAAATATTGATAAATACCAAAGAGAAAAAAGAATTATATAAAATTGGTAGTGGGACTTTTGTATTCCATGATAAATAGATTTGAGAATAAACTATAGACAATAATGCGTTTTGGAATAAAATAAAAATGAATACTAGAACTATGTTCTTCGATGATTTCACAGATAGTCAATATTTATTTAGCAAGAATGAGCGAAGAAAATTACGAAAGAATATTGCAGATAAAGTAATTTTTACAATGAAAGAATTTCAGGAATGCGTAAACAGATAGCGGAATTCTACTTTCTCTAGGCATCAAAGTTAAATTTACATTAACAAAAATTTAATTGAATGAATAATTATCGTAATATTTAACATTGCAAACTTTAAAATTACGTAAAACGATGATTTCTCTCGCTTTTTGTTTAAAAGCACGTACAGTATAATTTAATAATTTGATAAAGTATTTTAATAAAAATATGTAAAATGAAATGTATGAAGGTAATATTACAACACATTAATCCAAATGTATTATATTTTGGTGATAAATAAAACGTATATTTTAGAGTACCATAACACCGTCTACAATTTAGAAGATGTATCATCTAATCCGCAGCAATGTCAAGAATTGATCATTCAAATTACATTCACTCAATATGATCATAAAGCAGATCCTGATGTAACTTACTTCTGAGATCAAGAGCGAGATTATTCCAAAATAATATTAGAAAGCATACACTTAAAAAGGTACTCACAATGCAAAACACTTATAAATCAATAAAAATAAGTTATAATCTTCTAAAAAAAATGCAATACATTAGAATAATATTATTAAAAAGTAATACATATTTTAAATTATCGTTGAAAAATGCATAATAAAATTTGACAATAACATACTAATAATATTTTACATGTACATTTAACTTTAAAAATCAGTAATGTCACATTGTTTTTAAAAAACCAATAAACTACGCTCATAATAAGAAGAAGAACCAATAATAAGATCAAATCTAACATCTATAAAGATAATACCTGAAGAACTTTACTAGCTTATCTCACTTAAAATTACAGTAATTCTTATTAGATTCTACTGTTTTTCTGAAATGATTGTAAATATAAAAATGTTTATTTTTTTCTTGAATAATTTTTAATTAAGAAACAAAAAACTAAAAGAAAAGAATTAGAAATTAAAAGACAGATATAAACATAATTAATATTTGAAATTAGTAAAAATTTTATAAAAAAAATAATCAATATTACTTATTAATCAACGATATGAAATATTATGTACATACGTTATATTTATTTTATTTTTTAAATATCCTTTTAATTTAAATATCAAATTTAATTTTTAAACAAAATATATTATTATTATAATTACTTTTATTTTTATATTTATATATTAAATTAATTTGCATAGCTAACAAAATAGTGCAATAAATAATAGATTATAATATACATTATATAAGAATTTTATACATAATATATAATAATATAAGATAATAATAGATTATTATATAAAAGAAGAATTGAAGTGGTAAAAATGATTTGATTTTATTTGTTAACTTTATCTTCTTTCTAATTAACAAAATATGCGAATCGATCTTTATGTAGAGACGCGCGCAAGATATGCTAGAATTTCTTTAATTCTTCTTAATCTCGAACGTATTAAGAGGACGTTGTAAACATAGTTCGTAAAATTAGTTTGTGACTTCGTCCAAGGATTAAACAGCATACCAACATCATCCAGCACCAATCAGAGAGTTTGATTCAACGAGGTACGATTAAACCGAGTTAATAAGTTGCTTGAGTGTAATTCTGACTGAACGGTCGAACGCGAGTGTGCGTTGTGTCCGATCGAAGAAAGTTCTTCCATACGAAAGTTTACTTCTGTAAATTCTATCTTGTCCGTCCAACTAATAAATGGATTATGACTATTTGCGGTAAGAATTAAATGAAAATTGCTGTTTGTGTAATTGAATAACTCTTCTGCATTTTCAACATAAATAATAAAATTAATAAACTGATAATAAGCATTTTTTAAACTGTTTTTTGTATACTTTCATTAAAATATCTTCATTTCTCCTTCTTTAAAAAAATATAAATTATTGACATTGTTGTAGCTTTATGTCATGCGTGTCTTTCTATATATATATTATCATCTTTCGGAGGACCATTTTATTAACGTTTTCCCATATTTTTAAACGCGTTCTTTTAATTTTAATAAATTTTATTAAGTAAGTATTAGTGACGATAATTTACTTTTCAAAATTTAGAGAACTAATTTATATGTACCATAACATTAAATTACGACACATCTTTTTTCAATATTTTTTATTATAAAAAAAACCATTTTTTAATTTTTTTAAACACATTATTGTTTTATACTTTAAAGGATTTTAATCATTAGCGGCGAATATTAATTTTTTCAAAATTTTATGGTGGTCATTTAGATACCATAACGTTAGCTCAGGACACATATTTTTTAAATAATGCCCTTTCAAAGAGTTTTCTTATTAAAAATAATTAGAAAATTTTTTAAACAATTATTTAATCCGAAAATATCGTATTTCTGCGATTATCGATGAATTGCTATTAATATTTGCTTTTAGCGCGGTTTCGAAGTTAGTGTCTAGAGATACTGCAAGAGATCGCCACTAGTCGGTTTTTCGCGGTTTCGCCGCATTTTCTTTCCGCCATAATCAAGCGCGCATTGCCAGCTTTTAAAGTCAAAAATGTGCTAATCTCGTTTATTAATTGTATTTGAGTGTGATTAATACGGACTAATGTAATCGTTTTTGCGAGTGTGTGCTTAGTTAATCATAATTAATTGTTTTTGCCAGTAAACGTCACGAAGAAATAGCAATGAAATAAGAGAGAAAGAGATGAAGATCCGGCGCAGCAATCAGATTATGGCAGAGCTAATAAATGAGGTAGATAATTTTATTATATTTGTACTAATTCAATGAAAGAAAAATAATACGCGCAATAATTCAGTTCGTTTATATATTAAAATAATTCAAACAAAAGAGATTCAAAAAAATATTTTTACATAAAAATCTTATATAAAAAGATTTCAATGAAACAATAACTTTTCCAAAATTTATAAAATTACTTAATTATATATTTGCTTTATTATTGCATGCATTGAATTGCATTTCAATTGCGGTTTTACAATAATAATTTTCTGTTAACTATATTTAAGTGCTGCTACAATTTAGATTTAATTTGTATGTTACAGATCAATGTAGCTGACAAAATCGATATACTAAAATGAGAAAATTTCGTGTGCTTAAGTACGGAAGTGCGTGTAAAGTATCACGCATTTAGTGCGGGAGTGTCGTTTAAAATATCGTGCGTGTGTAAATCAAAGGATTTTAAATTTTAAATTTGGAGACAATCTTGATCAATCTGAGAGGAGGAGCAGGCTTAGGAGGCATTGGACGCCGGCGGAGCAACCTTGTGGTAAATATTTATTTTTTATATAATATTTGTTATAAATCACATATACATTAATTTTATTCCCATATTTGAATGATTTAAAAAAGAGAAAATTAGAAAAAATACTTTTTATATATAAAAGTTTATATAAATGTTTCTATAGAAGTTGACATTAAAAAAAATAGTCTTTAAACAAAATTTTTCAATTTATTTAATTATATATTTGTTAATTATTATATGTATTGAATATAAAATTCAATAAGTATAATGGTAATTTAAAAAATATTATTAATAATTATTTTAAGCATTGCTTATAATTTGAATTCTATTTGTGTATTACAGATCAACGTACTCATAGCTTCGATACAGTCAACTCCACTGTTGCACATCGATTCGTAAGTAAAATTCTTTTATTATATAAGGTAACGGATTTGTAGAAATTAGATTGTAGATTGTAGATCGTAGATAGTTCCATTACCTAAATAGATGGATTACAATAGATTAGGATAAACAATTCTATTTTTAAGAAAATTTTAAGAAAAAAAGAGAAGATTATATTAATATTTTATATTATAATTTTACACATATTTAATATAATTGATTTAATAAAGAGCACACTAATGATTATTAATTGCATGTATGATTGATAAATTGTGTAAATAATATATAATTATAATAATTTATTATTATAATGCAACAAGTTTTATTCTAATTTTTTTGATCGATTTATCCATCTTGACACGTTAGAAAACACTTAGTATAGCAACATATATATGACAATACCAGAGAGATTCTCTCTGACAATACCTGCAAAACGCCTACTAGGAACACTTTGATCTTTTGGTATCTTGTAGCAAAACCTACAACGTCAGTCGGTAAACTATATGACTTTAATATATATAAGAATTTATTTTTGACATTTTTTAAATTTATTTAATTTATAAATAATTTGTAAATTTAGTGACAAAAACACAGAAATTTTTTTAAATAATACAATCTTCAAGAAAGTATACCTTTAAATAATTTGTTATATTATAAAAGAGAAATAAGATTAATAATATCAATTATTTTTATTCTAATATTTTGTTGAAGCATTATAATTATACATTTCTAGTAATATATTTAAATATGATTATTTTATCGACAAAATAAAAGTTGCTACAATATTTGAAGAATTGATT